GGCTGTTTCAATCACTGTTCCTCTGTGTCATTTAGGCTGTTGGATTTTGCTGGGGTTGGACTAATACCCCTCTGTAAGTAGAGAAGAAGATGAAAGACTGATACTAGTACAAACACTAAAGGAACTGCGTTTGAAAGGAGAACAGCAAACTGACCAAATTCAGCTGTGTGGCTCCACTCACTTCCTGAGTTAAAATGTCTATGTTCATTAGAGGTCAGAACAGAAAGATTTATATATGTCTGCTCTATGAAATGCCCTCTGTGTGATCTGGCATGCTGTGCTGTGTCACTCTACCAAGTTTTCTCATTGTCTCTGCATAAAATTGTTGGCTTTTAATTTTGGTGTTCTGATTTTCTCTCTACATTTTACTCTGCTTTTTCTAAAGTGTTGGGGTTTTGCTTAAAGAGAGACTTCGTAGTGGCAAAATGACAGTAATAGCAGCTATTTTGTATAGTAGTAAATTAACTGAAATGCCACTTACTTTGTTTTTAATGGGTACCAGCAGTTATTTCTACCTGAACTGTCACACACAAAACAAATTGTTTTTAGTGTGTAAAAATAAGCAGTGATTTTCCCATCTGTTTTCACTTATAGCTCTGCAACATGTAACAGCTATTATGAAATCAACTTAAAAAAATCTCAAAGCATTGAATGTGTGGAAGCTTGGATAGATATTTGTTTTCTGAATTAATGTGAGTGTATGAAAGTCGATTTCCACGTCTAACCTTTTGTTTTAGAAACTTGGTTAACACAGTTTTGCTTTTTTACCAACAGAGCAAATCAATACTGAAAAGGCATTTGATGTGGTTGTTTCTATGTGCCTTTACTGGAATTACAGTTACCTTTACCCCAGTTTCACTATGTGTAAAACTAATTTAGCATTTCAGTGTGCTGATTTTCAATTTTATCCTCTAAAACGCACAAATGTGTGTGTATTTGCATTTGTGTATATGTATATATATATTGTAATTATGGCTCTTTAAATATCTAATTTCAACAAGTAAAAGAGTTACCTTGTGACACAGAGGTAAATCATAGCATAACCTAGAAAATACTTTAGGAAAACTTTGTATTTTCTGCACTTGGTATGTAAAAATAGTTTGTTTTCTGGATTTCTTTCTCTGCCTCCTTCTCATAACTCTACAGTGAAAAACATAACTGTTAGCTCTGTGATTTCAGCAAGTCTGGAAAACAATTAAATTTGCCTTGATGGTAGTAATTTAGGATTTCCTAACATGATGCACCAGGTGTAATTGGGAATGACAGTCGCTATAACAAACAGTCTTGATGAAATTGACTGTTTGAATTTGCCTATTTATTAGTTGCATGCTGTTTTAAATTAACTACACCTGCACTTCAGTGCACTTCTAGCTGTTGACTAGTCAGCTTAATCTTTTCTACGTGGAAATTTTGCTAGGCTATATTTTTCTTAATTTTAGATCAAATTTAGGTTATAATTTTCTTAATTCTGCTTATTTATTCCTTTTTGACTGCTCCTCATTTATCTGCACAAAGTGATATTCCCTTCCCCTGTTTTTCGGTGTTTGGTTTTATGATGCAGCACCCATGACCCTTTAATGACCCTTTGAGATCCATCCTGACTAGCGTAAGCTGACATGACATAGATCACTTAGGCAAAAGGAGCCAGAAGGATGCTATCTGAGTGATTTGGTTTGGTTTTGTTTATGTTTCTTTTTCTTGGAAAAACTTCAGCTTCGGAAAATTGTCATAACTGCAGCGTCACCCTGCAAGTGGCACTTGGATTTAAACACTGTAAGTCTGGAAAACAGCAGGAAGCAGCAGCTAAAAATAGCTGTAAATGTTTCCTTATCTTCTCATGCATTAATTGACAAAAATCTATACTGCCCTCATCTGTTCTTTCCTTTCAGTTCTTAAATGTGTGCTTTACTGGCTTTTCTTCCCAACAGCATGATTCAGGCTCTCACATTTTGAGCCACACTCTAACCTTAGAACCAACGCCTGACTAATAGTTTAACATATGTGTTAAATTGATGAAGCACCTGGGTAACACTTGACCTTGTGAAAACAAGATATGTATTTCTTTTTTGGTTGCTTATTACTTTTTTGTGCAAAAAGTTCACTATTCTGGCTGGGGTTTGTTCACCACGTTTCCACCCCAGTGTGAATGTCTCAGTTTTATAAGTTCCTCCTTCCTGCAGAACAACTTTGCAAAGATCGTTGAAGTGAAATTTGAGCAAATCTTTTTCCTTAAGCTCTGAACGCATGTTCTGTGCCATTTGATTAAGGATATTCATTTGCTTTTAACTAAGAAAAGATGTAAATATGTTTTTATACATATTGTTAAGATTTAATTATCGTCAGAGAGCTGCTAAGTGGAGTATGGTTCATGTTCAACAATTAAATGATAGAAATTTTTGCCACTGTTGAGAGTAGTTCTCATAGTTATGGGTGCCCCTAAAATGATCCTTTTTAGATGGCCTTTATATCTTGCAAGTCCCGTCAGCAGCTGACAAAACAGTCCACTCAGCAAGGTCTTTCTGATGACCCTTAGAGATGAGTGTGGTTCCACTGAACATGATTTCCTTAACTGCTTATAATATTGGGATAGCATCTAAAAAGAAAAACGAGGAAACATTGACAGTTTCAAAAATTGTGCAAAGCTGCCTGGAAAACCTTCATTCAACCGGTGATGCGTGTACTTGAGAAAAGGCTTTGCAGAGTATTCTTTAATACTACATTTTGTATGCCACTCACGTTACTTCTGTAATTTTGGTATTACACTAACTTGAGTGAATTCCATGGTTTGACTGAAAAGCAGTCGTGAAGAGAAGCCTGCAGACTAATGGCTGGCAGGCTCTAAGGAAGTGATTGAGGAGTGAGATGCTGCTGCTATGCCAGCTTGGGTGGGCAGGAGGAGCATAAATGTTTGTAAAGTGTTTTTGAGGTGCCAGGAAATCCGGTGCAGGTAAAGCTTAGTCTTTGTTCACGTATCTCTTGAAGTTTGCTAGTAGTGTCTTTTGAAAACGTCAGCTCAAAATTATTTGAGGTGTCTGACTGGAAACGGTTGAGAGCCGAAATAAGATTGCTGTCACTACCAGTAGGGTTGAGAGGAAAGGAGAGCCGCATTACTCCACTCATTTCTCAGAGCAGACAAGATCCAGTGAACCCATGTGGTCACAGCTGAAGGAGAAGAGCATGTGTAAAACATGAAGTGCGGCCTTTCCGTACTTGGGACAGTGGTGGTGTGGTGGTCTTTAATTACAGCTGTGTACTTTCCAGCACATCTGTTCTCCACTCAGTGGTCAGCAGGCAGGCATTGCTCTGGCCATGTAGCTGTAGGTCACTTGGGTAGGAGCACTGTTCACAGGAGAAACCATCCTGTATTGAAATGCCGAACATTTACATGGCTGTCAGACTGACAAATTGTTGTAAAAACTTTGACCTGAGTACTTCAGATTTACTTTTCAGTTAGTGAGCTCTTGGTTTGTTTGTTCTTTAAATTTAGTCTTAATTTCTCTGAAATATGGAGCTAGTTCTTCCTACTGCCAGGAAGATGTTGTAAAGAGTATTGTGTGAGCACTTGGATGCAAAGAAGGAATACCTTCTGCCCTGTAGTAGCTGAAATGGATGATCAATCCCTCAGTGATACCTGTGAAAATGAAAAGTGGCCAGCTGACTAATGAGAGCACAGTCTGGCCTGTGCTCTGCGTGAGACTGGAGTTGTGCAGTACGGGCAGGTGGTCGTGGAAGTGAAACCTCTGTAGTGATGCCCACTGGGGATTCCAGCTGGCGTTGCAGAAGCAGATGTGATTTTCTCATTGGCTAACCCACTTGTGCAGTCATCTTTGTTTAATTTCCAATTACGTTTTTGTACACAATCTATACTAAGTTATCTTCATACACAGAGTCCACTCTTCTCTCCTCCACAAGTCTCAGTGCTTTTGATGTCACTGCATACAACCGTGTTAATGTTCCCTGTGCTGTTCAGCATGCAGCTACCAGTGGCTTTCAGTGTTCGTTTTGTAGATCCTAAAACTTTTCTGGGGATGATGCAGATGGCAGTATTATCAATTCAAGTTCATTATTATCAATTCAAGTTCATTAATATATTTTCTAAGATACTGTTAGCAGAATTAAAAATGCTACCTGTCCTAAATAAAAACTAATGATTTTTGCTCCCTGTGGTTGAATTGTTTCCATCCTATACAACCAGAAAATTCTGAATTCTTAGCAACAGTTTTTTTTTTTTTTTCATTGAAAATTCTATTGTAATCTGTCCTGCTGAAAACCTCAGAAAATCAGCATCCAGAAAAATCTTAATTAAATCAAACGGATGATATGCTGACCTATAGCAAAATGACTTTAACGCTTTTTTTCAAAGAAGCAAAACCTGAGGCTTACCTTAACTTTCTGTTCACGTGCACGATTTTCTGATTTTCATCTCCATAATTAGCAGTTACATCAAGCTGCGTAAACTTTGGAATGTAGTACAGTATCAATATTAACATGAAGTGTTTCCAGATGTGACACTCTTCTTTGCACACTTAAAATTGTTTAACACTATTAATATTCAGGTTTTGTTGTAAGCTGCCAACTGTCTTTATTTATGAAATTTCACATCCCTTCATGTGATTCTGAGGCACAACTGAGGTACAGCTAATGGCTACAGAATAGCAAAGTGGTTTCGTGATTTTGCTTTCAGTACACATCTAGAACTCCAATGCATTGCTATAATAAGCTAAAATGTATTACAATAGCTTTGTATGTGAAAAGGAACAAAATAAGAATTACGTATTGCTGTTTTGAAATACTAACATTTAAAACTCCAGGAACATTTTTGTCAAGTACTCTTTGGAGCAGGACTGTGTTTTTTCTTTGTTCTGATTCTGACATAGATTTATTCCAAAGACAAAGAGTGATATTTATAGAAATGTTGTTGGCTAAGCAAAGCAAAGTCTGTTACACACCTCTTTTTTTTTTTTTTTTTTTTTTTTAAGTAAACATTCTGAAAATAGTCTTTACTAAAGAGAAGAAAAATAGCAAATATCGAGAATATTAATGGGCAGGACATCATAAACTTCTTTGAATTAATACAGAAACACTGGAGAAATTGTTTGCATTTGAAGTTGTTATCCATGTTAAGTGCAGTTTAATGTCTTGGAGAAGACATTCAGTCACAGGTCCAGAAGCTGAAGACAGCCAAAGTAAAGAGTGTTGTACTTTCTTCATCCTTTCCTAGTGCCTACTCTGTAATTGTCAATTTGTCCAGCCACGTCTTCACCCATAATTTCTGTTTCCTTCTTTGAAGGAGGATAATATGTCTCAGATTTCATTCAAGTGGCAACAAATTCCCCTTCTCATAGTAAAATCTAAGAACTAACAAGACCATAAGCCTTTAATGATCACAGGAAAAAGTTTGAGACAAAATGCAGTCATGGAGGAAAAGGGTTGAAAGTAGAGGAGGTGTGTAGACACCATTACTGTTTTTCAAGATAGGAAAATGAGATTGGCTGATGGCATTGAGAGGAGTAAAGTCCTTTGCTGTCGGCAGTGGGAAGCTGACACGTCAGTGGAAGCTGTGCTGCAAGAAACCCCTTGGCCTTGTCACCAATTCAGAACTGTCACTTGTCTGAACTTTGGCATTTGGTACTTGGGTGATCAGTTTCTTATTCAAGTATCTAATACAACATTATTTTCTAATTATGTTTTGTAATGCTTTATAGTTTGGCTCTAAGATATTAAGCAAACAGTAGGAGAAGCTATTGCTTAAAGAGGGTTTCTCAAGAATAGAATCATAAGAGTAGAATAGTCTGGGACAGAAGGGACCTATGGCATTCCAAGTACGTTTCATTGTGCTCACACTGTGGTGGAGCAAATTGGAAGCCCTCACCAACAAACACACTTTCTCTCAGGCATTGTTATGCCATCCTATAGTTTATCATTAATAAACCTGATCGTTAAGCCTGATCTTATCACTTTTCCCTTTCAAACCTAACTTTAAGCTCTTGCAGTCAGCCCCACTAAACTGTGAGTGAAATTTCTTTTCCCCTTTTGAAAAAGGTGAATCCAGCCAGGCCATGTGGGCCTGGTGTCACATAAGTTATCCCATGGTCAAAAAAAATCCCAAATTCTGCTGGTGCCACCAGCCTCAAAGCCAGGTATCAGTAAGCTGGGTCCATCTGTTTCTTTAAATGCTACTCCTTACAGAAGGAGGGATAGAAGAGTGCTCCTCATCCCTTTACTGATCTATCCAAAGCCCCGAAGTCTATTGGTTACTCTTGGGCTTTGTTACTACCCACATGAAAAAAAGCAAGAGCAGATAGTATCCTGAGGGCTGTACCAGCCTAGGACATTTCCTGTTAATATTTTCGACCCAAGCCTTAAGGACCAGACCTGTGGGTCTGGTCATCAGATCCAGCCCTCTGCTCCCCTCAGAAGGGAATCACCTATGACTGTAAGTAACACACACCTTTTTTGTTTCATGAAAGCAATCATAATGTAAAGTCTGTAAATTCTAATCTAAGTAATTCTAATCTAAGTGTAAGTGATTCTAATCTCTGTAATTCTAATCTAAGTGATCATAATGTAAAGTCTGACCTGACTGCTCTAGCATAGATAGATTGTCATCTGCCTTACTGGGTTCTACCAATTCCAAAGCCTTCTCCCTGTTGTATAAGGGTACCTGTGGTAACCTAATCTCCCTCCACTGCATTGTCAGATGATGTTACACAGTTGTCTCAAGAGTATTGCATTGAAACATATTGGACCACTGAGATTAGTGTATACATTAACAAAATGCCTCTCACACTTTAACATTGTGACAAAAAAAAAGTGTGAGATTTCTGTAATGTTAATTTCTTTCAAGCCCAGGAATTTGTTTTCCAACAACTTGAAGTGGTGAGCAGGGATGCTCCCAATCATGGCATTAATGCTGATTTGTGACTGCAGTGTGTTACTGAGTTGCTACCTATGAGATACTGTTCAAAGTTAGATGAAATTAGAAAGATCAAGTGACTGGGGTGTAGAGACTATTACTTCCCTGGAAATAATCTAATTAGCACAGCTCACAGATGGCACATGTCTGGCTGCTGATCTGTTAGCTGCTCGTTACTTGATTCTAGAGGAGGAGTTCATTTGTTGGCATTTGCTACCGTTAATCTGTCTTTAGAGATTTTCTGTAGTTAGCAAATACTTGTTAAGAGCTAAAGTTAATTTATAAGCATTTCTTAAACCTTTAATTTCACATGGTGCAATGCAAAAATAACTTTCCCTTTTCACTTTTTCTTTGCTAATCTCTAAGATCACTTTTTAGTTCTAAGTTTAAAGTTGACTTTGTATTATGAGGATTTTTTCTCACCTTCACACATAGTTGTCATTTGTTTAAGTGGCACTGTTCCAAAGGTGCTTTCACAGAACATTTTAAAGGAGATTTTTCTCTGCACAGATTTGAATTAACTAACTTGGGGGGGGGGAGCTGCCGCACAACTTCCTGAAAAATTCCTCCAGAGGAAGTAGAAGTCTTGAAAACAATTTTTAGTCTCAAATACAGAAAGCTACCAAGTGCATACAAAAGTTCTAAGCTGATAATTAGTAGAGTAAATATAAGCACACATTCACAGAGTTGAAGATCTTGCACAGGTATAAAAGTGATCCATTAACTACAGGAACTACCTCTAATATTTAATATACAATAAAGTGCTTTCATATTTTTAACAATGGAATGTTTTTTACTGCTCATGTCATCACACTGTATGTATCCTAAAACATTGGCTGACATTGCTCACTTTTTCTCCAGGAGGCTTTATGCTAAATTTGAGTATTGTGTTAGTTTGCTGGCATTTTCCTGCAAATAATAAGCTTTTCATAGTTCGTCTTCAGAGTTTGAGCTAATCATGAGTTTAAAAAATTAAGATGAGTACAGGAATCACCCTTTGATATGTTGTTGTCTTGTGAATTGAGGATGATTGAAATATGGATCTGGGCATACATAAATACTAAGACAGAGAGTAGGAAAAAATTCTCTTCTGGGTACTTCTCTGCAGATGTACCAGCTGCACCAATGTGTGGCTAATTCAGAATGACTTCAGGAAGCAAAATGAACTTTTCCATAGATACTTTCTGACAAGTGGCTCATCTTTTCAGATTATTGGCAAAGAACCACATTAAGCCATGCTGTCACTGATCCGTTCTTCATCGGCCTAATTCCTTTGCTCAGCAGGAAAACCTCCAAATTCTCCTGGAAATACCCTGCTGGTAAGCTGAGTGAGCTCTGCTGGGTTGCAGAGCACAGGCTCACATGCACAGCACAGCCTGATTTATGGGATAACTTCCAACCTTGCCATCAGCCTGTCTGTCCTGTGTAAGAGCAAAGCTCCAAATCAAAGCGTAGGAGCCACCTGTTTGTTTTGTTTTATCTAGTGGCAAGTTCTCATAAAATAAGAATAAGCCTTGAAATTATCATTATCCTGATTTGTTTCTCCAAGAACTTGATAAAACATCCTTTGTACCTACCTGTCTTGATGGCGGCACAGCTGACCCAGTAAGCAGGCTAAGCAGCAGGGTTAGGCTGCAGGATTACGTTTGTTCACACTGAGCACAAGGCTGCATCACCAGTGAAGCTTCTGGCTTGCCATCAGCTGGGATGCAGGCAGATGGAGCTTGCATGTGCTTGCAGAGCAGTCTATGCACTAACGTGGATCTTTCTTTGCAGTATGCCTAGCTTTAAAACTTAGGTGAGGCCAGCTCGTTGCATTCCAGTGATGTTGTCCTCCTTTGTGCTTTCTGAAGAAATAGGGGAGTTCAGGCATCTCTTCCCAAATCTATTTAAAATAAAATGTTAGGATTCGCCTGGAAATCACATACATGTAGAAATGTCTTTTGGCAAGGGAGGTGTCTGTGTTTAGTACGTACCCAGAAGAAGTGCTGTAATTGTGGTAACCTCCAGCAAGTCAGAAAGGCAAAAAAGCTGAGAACCGTATGGATGTTATGCAAGACAAGTTACCACCCTTTCCTAATACACATGTACCAGTGAGTGTCTGGGAAGAGGCTCAGGTGAAACTTAACTCTTAAAGTCTCCGTTTCCCTTCAAGTGATGCCCAGGTATCCTGTCCTGGGTGTATTCTTCACTGGGTACTGCGTCATTGTCAATTACCATACACATACACAGAGCCAACGCACTACTTTTGTCTTTGCGCATGCATTGCCTTCTTTGCCACGCTTTGTGTCATGTTCCCTAACTGTTGAGTAAAACTCTGTCATGTGAGAGCTTTGTTTCAGCAGGGTCAGTTTAAGTCTTGGTTCTTCGCTGAACTGAATGAGCTGAGCTTCCACTCCTGCTTCTGCCCTCTGCTCAGCTAATTGGAAAAAAAGCATCACAAGAAGGGGTGCTCTTCCTTGCAGGATTTACTGTAAGGTGTCCTCTGTTGATTATCTGACTGTCAGATGGATTGTAGCAGTTTTCAAGGTTGTTGAATTTTGCAAACAATTTATTCGTACATATGTGTATGTCTGTTCTTTATATATAGCTTTTAAAACTCAAACTTTATATTTCCTTTTTATTTTTTGTAGAGGTCACCTCTGATACTAACGAATACAAACAACAGGTATAATTTTATTGTGTTTTATGTCTTACCTTTTACTTGTTTCATTGGTTTGGGGGCTCATTCTGCTCTAGACCTCTTTGTAGTTTGGGGTGCGCTCACTTTGGGTACTCTTGGGAACATGGAGCACGGCTCTTGGTACCTGGAAGTTATGTGGTTTGATCCATTTTCTTTGCATGATCCTTTCACCCTCTCTGGTGGAGTGCCACGCAGGGCTGCAGCTTTCTTGGTCTCTGGTGGCAGTGCTCAGTAGCTGCGTGCTGGAAGATCTTCAGTTAAAACCTGTCAGCTCTCTGGCTCACTGAGCTTTGTGGATCTCAACTCTATTCTTACCACAGCGTCAGGACACGTGTCACATTTTTTTCCTTTATGTATTGGAGCTTACTGTTCCTCCATGGCTTCTCCAAGGTTCTGAAAGCAGACTACTGTGAGACTCACAGTAACCACTGAAACCGCTGTGTGCCAGACTTCTCTCAATTGCCAGGTTACAAATCTAGTTCTGTGTTCAACAAGAAGGAAGATTTCTGTTTCATTGCACGTAGTTCAAAGAAGATGCATTCTCAGTATTACAGAGTGTCTGAACCCCTCCTCCCAAAATGCTCCTACAGGTAAGAAATGCTGTATAGGCTCTGTGTTTCTTCCAGAAACATCTTGTAAACAGCACGTGAGAGGCTTTGTGATTGTGAAAAGCTTTTGGGATGGCAGCACAAAAAATCTCTTCTACAAAACAAATGGAGAATCAGGGAGGGAGGCCAATAGAAGACAATATTCTTAGCGCATGAAATATGGCACAGTTTTTTTGGAGAAAAGAAGTTTCAGATAGTCATCAGTTTTCCTGGTACAGGCTAAAAAGAAATCCATGAATGAAGCTTAAAAGTATCAGAAATATTGTTCTATTAGGAAAAAAATTAGGGAATTCAAGGTAGACAGAGGGCGTACACCTAAGAAAATGATGTTTTCAAGCCATGGGGCATGAACCAAGTTGCAGTATTTTTAGGGATAGTGTCTTATTGTGGGAATAACTGAAAACGTATGTTGGTGGATCCTCTGTGCTGATTTCTAGGGTGTTTTGGGATGTAGCTTTGATAGCTATGTAGTTCTTAAGTGGTCTGAATGGCCTTTATCTGGGAGGTCTCTCTGGTTCCATAGTGAGAACACAAAAAGGCAAGAAGACACAGCTCACATCTGCCCACATCCACCCTGGTACAGTAATACAGACTTCAATGCAGCCCTGTTACACCAAGTATTGAGATCTGTTCCCAGACAGGAAGATGTGGGAGCGCGGCCTGCTCATGTAGAATATGTTTTTTAAGAATCAAGGCCATGAAGAATCAAAAATTCTCCTTCCCCATCAAGGGAACGTGTGTTCCAAAGTGAACTGCCCATAGCAGAGCACTGAGAAGTGATGGGTTTTTGCAGAAGCAGGACTTTGCTTAGTGACTTTGAAAAACTGTGTCTTTCTACAAAAGCGGGTATCAAATTAGAAAAGCAAAAACTGTGAGGTGATTTCTGGTTCCTATCCCTGTAACAAGCCTGTAGGGTGTCAGTAAAATTGAAACTATTTCTTTACTATTTACTTCTAATTCTTTCCGTCTCTCATATCGCTAAATTAATTTTCAGTTGCCGTCAATTTCATGTCTGCGTTTATGGCAACATTTCTGACAAAACGCTACATAGTTTTAAATGCTTCTAATTTTTGTCTTTTTTTTTTCCTAAGCTAATTTGTAAAGATTGGAAATTACCAGTATTTTGTCATGTTCCTATCAAGTGTTCTTGAATTTCAGAGAGGAGAGGAGAAGTAAGAACTCACTCCTGTTTATTTAATTCCGTTCTGTTTTTTCTTTATGTGTTCATTTTGAGTGCTTTAAAATCTCAAGAAAGTACAGAACAGGTTTTGCCGTAAGTCAGGGCTCTACTTAAGTCTTTTATTTGTGTTCTGCTTCTGGGAAAGTGCAGAGGAGCTGTTTCATATTCATATAAAATCTTTGCATAGCAGGTTGACGCTTGTAATGCGTGTGTTGTATTAACTTCATTTGTATTACTGTATGTTTTTAAATAATGCTTTTGGAGCTGGATTTTATGAGCAAGTTTTAATAGTTTCATTTCTTTCAAATCTGTTTACAAACTATCACATAATTGAGCTGGTTTATTGATCTCACAGAGATTACGCACCTGACACTATTTGCACCAGTTAATAAAAGGTTTTGTTGGCTTTCTTTAAATGGAGTATTTGAGAATGCACAGTTCTGTTATGCTGTAGAATTTAAATTGCTTATGTACTGGAATATTTACTACCTTCTTTGTTGTTTCATTTCAGAATGACCTTATTTAAAAATGTATGAGGCTATTTATAATCGACTCTGTGGCAGTGATTAAAGAGGTGTGAATAATAGCTTATTGGAAGTTGACAGCTCCTTGTTTGCTAAACCACTGGTAGAACGTTTCTGCTGCTCAGTTGTACCTCATTTTTCTAAGGGGAGGCTGCATTTTGACAAGTGCCTGGAACAGGTATATGCGGCTGACATTTTTATTATTACAAAAAAATCTGACTTCTTTAACTGCAAATGGTTAATTAATTGCTTACCTGTTTCTAATGATCTCTCTGTGGTATATCGTAAAAATAAGACTGAAAATAAAATCCAACATTTTTACTTGGAAAAATTAGATGTTGTTCTTCCCAAATAAAAGTAGATGCTCCAAAGGAATTTGACCAAGCAGTCAGACATCTGTCTTTCTGATGAGTGCAGTGATTCTTAGTCTGGTCTCTGATGCTTTTGATCTTAGATCAGCATCCTAAATACTTCCAGAAAGGACATCAGGTGCTTTCTCACTGCTATTAAAAAATAAGATTCAAGGAAAATAGGACTGTGATTTATTTGGTTGCAAATTATGCTTAAGTAATGTGGGCTTCTGTTCACTAATGAATAGAAATCAATAAGCTTGTAGGTAAGGAGGATCATCAGATAATACTGTGCGTGTATCTATGCAGCTGATAAGCACAAATAACTGTATGACTTATGCTGGTATTGCTGGTGTCTCACTGGTGACCTAGTGAACTCATTCTGAAGGTAAATTAAAGCCCCCACTCACTCTTGTGTCTTGACTTAGAAGAATATGTAGTTCCTTGTAGGTCTGTAAGCACCCTAGAGACAGCATAAACCTAAGAAATTGAAAATGATTGTTGAGAGCTTATGTCAGAACTTTGCAAGGGCTTTCCTATGCACCTTGAGTTTCTCCAACCAAAAAATTGCTACTCATTTTTCTTCACTGCAGTGTTTTCTTTATCAATGACCTGAACATACGCACACCTTACCAGACACATCAGAACTGTTTATTGAAAGTGGTGCAGGAATTCATTTTATTCTGTATTTTCACACTTGCTTATTAATAAGAAAGTTATTTCTGAGCTGTCATTCTTAGTGGTCAAATCCCAGTAGAATTATAGAAAGAATTTGTAACTTCTGCTAAAATCTTTAGTAGAGCAAGTGGCTACGAATAAAATGCAGACGTACAGGTATCTCCCTGTAAGAGCCAGCACGTCACAGGTTTTACTCCATGAGTATCCAAACTGAGAGAGTGCCGAACCTATGCACTGAGTTAACGGACTGCTATAGGATCCAGGTTCTGTTTAACTAAATATATGCTAAAAATAATCATCGTTATCTCCCTTAAGAGCTAGTTTGTGCTGTTTATAAAGTAGGGGAGCAGTTCTCTGGCTGTGCTGGGATTATGGTGGTACATCCTTTTTCTGGTCTGGTTGGTGATAGCACTGCACTCAGTTTCCCTGAAACATTGCACCTGCGAGGATCATTGCATTCCAGAGCCGATCTCTTTGCCCACTGAGGGAGCCCAACAGCTGAGAGTTAATTCTCTGGGAAAAAGGAATCTGTCTGCAATGTGGCATGAAGAAATGAGTGTGTGGCTTTGCAAAGTGTACAGGATTTGATTTAAAAACATATATATTTGTAATAACAAAATTCTGGAACTTTGGAATTTATTCCTAAGCACTAATATGCTTTATATTTCATTTGTATCACTTCTGTATGGTTTATTGCAAAAAAAAAATGCCTTAAGGTCTCAGTCATCACCTGTCATTCAAACTCCCAATCACAGATAGTATAAAATGACATTTGTGTTGAGAGAGTTTGGTTCCTTTTGCAGCTGCTAATGGGTTTAAGCTGATGGGAGTGGTGGCACGAGGCAGCAATAAGGCAGAGGAGAAGCCTGGAGTGGAGCCAGCACGGGGAATGCTCACACGTGTTTCTTTGCATGGCGCAGTAATGCTGAGGTTGGAAAAGTTTAATTACCCACCCCACTCCCTCTTACTTTTTTTTTCCTTCCCTTGCTGAATTCTTGTGTGGCCTTGAGTTTGTTAATCAGCAGAGCTCATAAGCAAGCCAGATGATGCATTGTTACAGTACCTTTTACAGCTGCTGCTTTCCGGAGTACAGTGATTACCTGCCGTGCTCAAACCAGTTGCTTCCTATTAGAGTGCAGTGGTTACTAATTGGTCTGAATTTGGCTGCTAAAACAAAGTTAATTTTCGCTTTTACACTGAAGAGTATTTTAGGTCATGTTGTGCTTACACTGCAGTATGAAGCCTTGTGGGTCTGTTCTTAATTTTTTGCCCTTTTTCTCATGGCGTTCCTCATCCTCCAAAAAGAACTAATATGTCATTGAGTAAAAAGATCGGTTCTGGATGCAGGGGTGAGTGTACTAACTCATATTTCTATGAACAAGTATTTATTTCACCTCACATGTCTCACGCTAGGCTTTAAAAACCCAAGAGTTTTCCCTGCCCACAACAGATGTCTCAGACTTCTACACGGTGTCTTTCACCACCAGTGTTGATCCTGGGATTTCTCCTGGATTTTCCCATCCTTCCACCTTTGTTTTGCCTGTTTGTCTTTCATGGATATATTGATTTTCTATTCAATGACTTCTCCAAAGCCTTTTGTTGAGTGACTGCCCTTAGTACAATTCCCAGCACCTTCTTTCCAGTAGTAGCATTATGGCTTTCAAAAATCAGGATTCCCCTTGAGAGGAAGTCAGAGGATGACTTAATTCTGTCCCAGTCCTCATCATCTCAGCTTGTGTCATCCACACTTGTAACCATGAAGATGTCTCAAGTATTTTTATGAAAAGCAGAATAGTAGATAAATCTTCAGAATGGGTTTGTCTGTAACTTCTTGGGGAAAAAAAATAAATAAAAATCAGAGATTGGAAAAAGTATTTCTCCTGTTTCAGAAGTTCCGAGAGTCAGATCTGATCACGCTGTAATGCTTCATACTTTTTAAATATCATGTTTCCTTGCAGTTTTTCCCTTACAAAATGAAGGGTCTAGAGGCCTAGAGATGTTTAATATCTCAAATACCAACAGCTGTCTGTTATTAACGTTCATGAATTGAGTAATTAGGTTACAATGCTTTGTTATGAGCTTTATTTTCATTGTTATTTCTTTTTGTGGCATGTGAGTGAATTGCAGTTGGACTGGTCTGACGGAGCACAAAAGATTCTTAAAAATTAAATTCTTCCATAGAAAT